GTCCTGGTGTGTGTGTGTTGGGGAGGTGGTGGGGTGGTTCAGGAAAGCTTCACTGAAAGTTGCTCTTGAAGTCAGGACAGCTCATAAGTAAACCCAGAGAAGAGCATTGCTCCAGAAAATGCTGGTGTTCTTGTGAAATAATCTTGCCCACCTTTAAGCCTTGCCTAGGGGCCTCATGACTCATCCTTCCTGCTCTGTAGAGTTGATCTAAATTAGTGTTTTCAACCACAAATACTGGCGGGCGCACCTTTGGTATGCTGGACTAGCCCAGGGACTATGAATATGAATAAGACTTGATCTGGTGCAGATTTCCTTATGCAGAAGTTTCCCCCACTACAAATGCCTCAGTGTGTCTGTAATATTCTGGTTCAGTGTTTAGTGTTTTGGTAACTACTTATGCAATTCTTGTGCTCAGTCTTGAGAAATTCCTACCTCATATAATTATCTGTTTATCAACAGGGCGCCTATTGGGGGCCCATTTTGGTGACACTTGGTAGAAGTGAGATATGGAAGAGCTGTTTATTGTTTTACTTTTATTTTTATTTTTTTGGCACTGGGGATCAAACTCACGACCTTGTGCTTACCAGGGAAGTGCTTGAGCCACTGAGATAAATATCTGGTCCTATGGAGGAGCTGCCTAAATGGCATTGATGGTCCAAAGAAGAGTCTTCTGTTATGTCTGTTCCCTTTGGAGATGGGAGAGATGACACTTGGATTTTTAATTTGGAACCACTGATCTTATTCCTTGACCTTGAGCAGGGGTACTCAATGTCTTTCTTCTTTACTTCCATTCTTCTCTAGTTCCTTGGCTTCGTGGTTGGCTCCTCTTTAAAACCAAGTGGGTAAAGGGGATAGTGTGCTGGCATGAAGAAGATTTCTGTGCATTGGGATAGAGGGTAGATAAATCGACGGAAGTTTCAGAAAGTAGATTTTGATTCAAAATAAGGGCAGGGTAACTCTCTTTGTCCGAAGAGTTGGCCAACAATGAGACAGGCTGTCCTGTGAAGTAATGAGTTTTCCATTGTGGAGGTTTTTGGGAGCTGTGGAACGACCTCTCTGGGTTGCTGCCGGAAGAGCCCTCCATTTGAATGGACCTGAATTTTCACAGTTCAAGCTTGGTTGTGGGGAGAGAAAACCACTCTTTTTAAACTTTTTGTCGGTACCAGGGATCGAACTCACGACCGCCTGCTTGTAAGGCAGGTGCTTATACCGCTGAGCTAAATCCCCAACCTCCTGTTGTTTCTTTTCCATATCCTCCTTCTTTCTCTTTTCCATCACATTTCTTCTTCTGAATTCTTCATAGCTCATGCCTTGTTTGTCACAGATGTTCAGAACACAGGACCCTACCTGCTAAACTTGAAAAACATGTGTTCCAAGATGTTTATTTATCTTGAGTTTGCTGATCATTTAGAACCCAAACCTAGCATATCAAATTTTTGCATGGAACTAACTTCCCCAGAAAATGTGAAGTATGTAAATTTTTTGTCTCTGCGTCTCTCTGTGTCACTGTCTCTCTGTCTCTGTCTCTGTCTCTGTCTCTGTCTCTGTCTCTGTCTCTCTCTCTCTCTCTTTCTCTCTAGTGCTTTCACAAGCAGAGTTCTGTAACTGGAGTTGCAGCTCAAGGCAACTGAAAAGCACTTTGCTTGGTGGGTTTGTAAATGGAGGGGTATCCGTGGCCTTGGTTACCAGGAAGGACTGAGCCCCTCCCTTCTTTTTTTGCCTCCCACTCTCCTGCTTCCCCTCCTCTGTATCCACCCCTAGCCCCAGGCTCACTCCTCAAGGTTAATTTCCTTGGCAGCAGCTGTGACTCCATCTTCCTCCTCCGCCCTCCTCCATCTTCCACACACACACAGGCTTTTGAGTTATGTGCCTCCTGTTCTAATGAGATAAACAACACAAGTCTCAGGAGGCTGCTTCTCCCTCCATAAGTGGAGCTCCAGGGCTGAATGTGGTGGCCCTGTTAAGGAACCCGGATGCTTTCCAGCTTAGAAAGGTGAGCAAGGAAAGGGGTAAGGAGACAGGTAGAATCAAAGCAGATGGCAAGGGGAAGCTTCTTTCCATCTCATGAGTAAACAGTCAAAGACCAGCATGGGTGGGGCAGGGGAGCCTTGTCAAACCGTGTGGTCATGGAGTTTAAGAGGAGTCTGCATCAGCTCCCTCCTGGTAATCAACAACTGACAGTTAAGTTTTTATGGTCATAAAGATCTTCCTCTCGAATGTCAGTGAATTCCATGACAGTTCCACAGGTGGGTGTCATCGTTGCCCTCATCTTCCAGGGGAGGAGGCAGGCTTAGACAGGGGTTAGGATATTTTCCAAAACTTACGTGCTCTTCCTAGGTGCCATAGGGCTTCTCAAATCCACGAGAAAAAGAATGAAACAAAACCAGTTCTCTCTTCTGGGCATTCAAAGGACTTACCAACTTTGCCTCTCCTGGAAAGGATCCTGCAGCTACCAGCAGTGTGGCCTGGGGCTGTCTCAGTACTACTGACTCACAGGTGTAGTGACTACAGTCTCTGGGAGGGTATAGGGACAAGTGTTGACTTTTCTGAGCTCATGCTTAGACCTTTTGAGAGTGCTGGTATAAATCAGCTCCTTCATCCTCCCCCTGCTTTCGGTCAAGTTGGATATGCCAGGGGATAGTCTGTGGGGCTAGAAAAAAGCCCAAGACCAGAGACTGCCCTACTGGGTTGGGTAAGGTGGGCTCTAAGTTTGGTTTTGGGTTCACTTTGTGGAGTCTTTCAAGAAGAAGGAGTGTCCTAGAGCCAGGAACAGCAGAGCCAGTGACCATTCACTTCTTGTATTTCTGAGTTGGGTGTAGATCTGGTTGAATGTGTTTACTTGATAAGGATTCTTTGATGGGCCACTGTGTGCTAGGTATTAGGGGTATGAGAGATGGACATGATTCCTGGATCTTATAAACAAGTAGAGGAGATAATCTAGTAAGCAAGCAATTAATTATACTTTGGGGGAAATACAAGGGTGTTTGGGATCCTGCAACCTTAGTCCAACCTTAATCTATCAGAGAATCATGCAGACAGGAAATAGATGATGTGTAGACATTCAAAGGCTCCTGGTTAGACATTCCAACAATCTATAAAGTTCTTTAAAAAGTTACCCAATTTCTTCACCTACCTAAATTCAGATTGAGTTTGAGAAGTTTCGCTTTTGAGAAGTTTTCCAGGTTACTGGTTTCAGTCTGGGTTAATAATCACTAGTCCAAGACGTGGGATGTGGAATAGCAGCGGGTCAGTACTTGGTCTTCCCTGACATCCTGCAGAACATCATGTCTAGTGGTTGCCTGGATACCTGGAAAGGACTTAGAATCAAGATACCATTTCCGAATGGTAGGATCAGAGATGATTTAGTTCTGAAGTGAGCCACAGCAGAAACTGTGAGCTATTTCTAATGATGCCTTCCCTCAAAGAGAAGCTACTCCTGGACCGCTCATGGCAGGGAGATCAAGCTTCCTTTATTTGTTTCATTTGGCTTCTATCCACCTGTTGCAAGTCTGGTCCTCAGAGCTCAGGGAGCTCAAAGTTGCAGGATCCTCCTGCTATGCAAAACCCATGAAGCAGGAGGCTTATAGGCTCCAATCTTAGTAACTTTGGAGAATCAAAAGGAGAGGGGTCAAAACCTTCAAACTGTACAGTCTTGCAACCTGTGAGAGCAACTGTGTGATTAAAATGATACTTATCACATAAAAGTACCTGAATATTTTGGTTCCTTTAGTGTTGGGACAGTTGCCTCTGCTTGGGATCCAACCCAATGAATTGGTAAAGATGACTGGTAAAAAGCAAAAAATGTATGAACAGATACGTAGTAAAGGAAGTCTTACAGATTTTCCTCTACAAAGGCAAATAATGAAAGCATTTTCCTCTCTTAATTTTTAAAGGACCTGAAATGGAAGACAGCAGATAAGAAAAGGGTCTTGGTGTTTTCTGAGTCCTGTGATCCTAGGTTTAGGCATAGACACTCTCATGTGCAACTGCCTGTATCTAAAAGCTGTCTTGCCACATTTATCCACAGAAGACAGAATTTATTTTAAAGCTGGAGCATATTCATTCATTCATTCAACAAATACTTAGCTGGGTTCTTCTACATGTCAGCCACAGTTTTGGTTCTGGGTCTCCTACAGGAATAGGACAAAAGTCTAGTACTCAGTGGGCTTTTCACTGGTTTATTTGGAGGATCATAAGATGTTTTTTTAGGCTCCAAGTTACTCTACCAGTCTTAAACACCTTTCTATTCCTCCCTCCTCCTTATTCCCTTCCCCTTCCTTTGATAGTAGGCTTCACTGGTCTTTTGTGGAGGGTCCACACCCTTCCATGTCCTCTGGTTCTCAAACTGTGTGCCATAGGAATGTGGTCTGGGCATCAGGAGGACTCCTCATGGGGTTCTTGGCATGACAATGTTGCTGATGGTGTAGATGGAGTGTAAGTATAAATGGAGACTCCTGCCAGGGGTAGTGTTGAATGTGAGCACAGGTCTGGGATGCCTACCCCTGATGGCTCAGGCAGGTGGGCAGCAGTGTCCAGGACTGCTGCTCTGTGGGCCATGGAGCCTGGTGTCTAGAGCAGGTGTGTGTTCCCATGGGGGCAGCCCCAAGGTAGGCTCAAGACTTCTGTCTTTTGTAAAGAAAACCTACTTACTTTATATCTGGACAGAGAGGCTGTTGCTGGGGAGCTGCTGCCTTAGGAGTGCTGTCATGAGATTGACTCTTCTTATGGTCTGTAGGGTCAGACAGCAGAGATCCTTTTACTAAAGTGATGGCTGTTTTTGGCCTGGGTGAGCGGAACATCATGGTGGAACAATAGTAGTGTTCTGGGGAAGATGGCGTACATTCAACCTGGGCTGTCAACCAGCTCTGTGACCTTGACAAGTCACCTCACCTCTTTGGGCTTGAGTTGCCTCTCCTTCTGAATGATAAGGTTGATTGAGGTAGTTTCCAAGGCCCCGTCCAGCCTGGAGCCTTTAATGTTTACATTGTCTCTGTCTGCAGGTCTTGCTCCGGGCCAGCTGTATACATACCCTGCCCGATGCTGGCGCAAGAAGAGACGATTGCATCCGCCTGAGGATCCAAAGCTTCGACTGCTGGAAATCAAACCTGGTGAGCACTCTCTGGAGCCTGAAGCTTGGCTGGGACCTGGCAGTAGGCAACGCTTGGGTCTGGCCCAGGACAAAGTTGGCTCCTTTGTCTGCAGGCTGTGTTTTCTGGGAAAGTAAAGGTATCCACATGGCACTCAGAGGCATTCCTCTGTGCTGACTCTGCGGTTAGACATGGCCACATGTCCACTGAGTATCTCTCCCCCCTGGTGTGCTGAACCTTCTCCTCCTTTGTCTTCCCTCTTGCCACCCCAGGGAAGCAAAACAGGCAGCAGCAGGGGCCAGACACAGGTTTTCGCAGCAGGACCAAAGGAGCCACAGGGCTTTTGGGTCAGGTACTTTTTCCTTGTGGTTTCATACCTGATCCCAGGTTGTGTGTTTTCCAGAGGACAACACCCTTTGCGTCTCTTCCACCCATTCAAGTGAACTCCTGAGCAGCTTACTCAGAAAGGGCTGGTTTGTTAAAAACAGAACCCATCTTGGCCATATGGAAGAGCTGGGGTTTGACACTTAATTTGAGGGGCTGGGGGTTGCATTGTGGCTCTGCAAAAGGATCCAGTTTGTTTACCCTGACTACTTGCCTATTCAGACCAATGGCCATCCTGATGCATGTGTCTGGGTGGCAGCAAGACCAAGTGATTTTTCAGGGTTTTTAGTTTTAAGGGAACTTTTGCTTTGGATGATTCTGGGTCTACAATGTGGTGCAGAGTTAAGGGAATGGTGCTGTCCAGTGGCGTGTGTCTGTTAGTCGCACATGTCTCTTTGATTCAGTATGTGAACTCCCCGGGCTATTCCCTAGTGCTGAATAGGACAGATATACCTGGGGTTCCTAGGCAGCCTTCCACCTTCACATGAGGATCAAACAAGCCACATGTAATTTTCGACTTTTAAGTAGGTAATACAGTCACATGTTTTGACATTTAAAAGATAAAAGGATATATTGCCTAGGAAAAAATAAGAGCCCATCTGTGAAGAGGCAATCAATGGCACTGATTTTTTTAAATTCTGAGATGATCTATGCATATATTCATAATTCCACTGATGTGATCATCCATTCCTCTTTTTTACACAGCACGACCATCTTGGGTTTTTCCATTTCCATTTAAATAGTGCCTTAGACATTGGTCACCCCTGCATATAGTTTCCTCATCCCTCCGTTATAATTACATACTATTCCATCATATGAGGGCATAATAATTTATTTAACCAGGCTGTTCCTAATTTTTGTTTCTAACTTTTCCAATTTAATCAGTGATGTGCAATGAATATTTTGAATGTGTATGAAACCATCTCACATTATATTTGTTAAAGGACTGTATTATGTGACATTAATTTAAAATTATTAGTCTTAAAAATTATTAGTCCTTATTCTTAATATTTGCATAAGAGATCTTAATTAAGAACATTTTATATCAGACTTACTCGGTCTTCTTTCTTAGAACCAAAGATGTTTAACACTATGAAGTACCTTAAATCTCTTGAACTCTGATTCCTGATCTTTTTGAGGTCCAGACAAGTTAAACAAACTTGCTTCAAGTCACACAGCAAGTCCCCTGGATCCAGCAGAGAATCTAAGTTGCTCAAATTACCTGTTCAATGCTTTTCTGCCTCTTCATGCTGCTGACAGATATACTAACTTAAAGAAACATTGACAAGGCTTCTTTCTTTTAAAAACTTTATGATTATAAGATTAAAATATATCAAGAGACAGCTGGAATTCCTTCAGTAATAATTACTCAACTCCAATGGCTGTGGTGATGCACTTCTGTAATCCCAGCAGTTGATAGCCTGAGGTGGGAGGATCTTTACAAATTCAAGATAAGCCTGGGAGACAAAGTGAGTTTAAGGCCAGCCTGAACTACATAATGAAACCCTGTTTCAAAAACACAAACAAACAAACAAACCAAAAGCCAAAAAACAAAATAAAACAAAGCAAAACACCCCCAAATCCAGGTAGCTAAAAACCACCCTCCTCCAAAGTGTCTCAAAACAGCAAATCCCAGTATTTACCTGGCTTCAGACAGAGTTGCTCAAAAGACTGTAGTGAGTGCTATGTCTCCTTCTATCTCTAATACTGTCTTCTCTTCCTGGGTAAGGGAAGGTGGCCAGCATGCCCCACACTCAGCAAAAAATCCTCTTTCATAAGCGTGGCCAAGAAGTCCCAGGTAGGACTGATTAGCTGGCCAAGTTTATGTCTGCCCCACCAATCACTGCCACTCAGGGGTCAGAGTGCTCTGATTGAATCATTGTCATCATAACCAGTGTCTGAAGGGAAACACTGATTTACAAAACCCTTTGTAAAGCCTTTTCCTCTATATCACTTATGTGGTCCTCCCATAGCCTGGGGTTTAGAAGGGCAAGGGAGGGATAAAGGTGTTAGAAGCTCATTTTATAGTTGGAAAGAAACTGGACTGTGGATGGAACAAGAATTCACTGTGTGAATCATGCAACTGAGAACCAATCACTGCTTATGGGACTGAGGCAAGAAGGTATCTTCTGAGTGTCTTTGGTCCATGGTTAGCTACTTTGGACATCCTGAGCTCCCAGTGTGTTAATCCTTCCTGTGACTGATGAGGAAGCAGCAGCATTCATAGTGGGCTGTGGGCCTGCCTCATTCTTGGGCCCAATGTGACATGAGGGGAAAGAAAAGGAAACCAGGCAGGTGCTTTTCTGTACTCATGTTCCCTCTGGCACACAGTGGCTTATTTGTGACCATTTGAAAGACTTGTTTAGCTTCTACCTCCAAGCATGAGGTAGAAGTGGCTGAACCAGATTTGAGGATAAAGGGCCCATTCCCTGAGATGCTTAGGGTCCTGGGCAATGTCTAACTCTGGGGAAACAAGCATCAGCCCTTGTGTGGCCCTGCCCCCAAGTGGGAAAAGCGGAGCCTTCCCAAGGCTTGCCTTTTCTTCCTCACCTGGGGCTAAGAGACAATCAGCAGCTCAGGGCTGTGGTAAGTAGCTTTCAAATGACAGAGCTCCTTCTCAGATGAACTTGATCCTCGTTTTGGGTAATCAGACCTACTACTAAGCGTGCTAAAGCCAAAGCCAAAACCCAAGCCCACAAAGCTTTTGGCCAAATGCCTGTCATTCCTCATCCTATTTTGAGTCTGTATTGTGGAACCTAAGCCTGGCCCTGGCCCTGGCCCCTGCCCGTGCCTGCGGCTGAGCATGAAGATGCTCAGGAGTGCTCTGGGTCCTTGGAGAAAGAAGCACAGCCCGGAACCTCACAGCAGTAAGACCTGTCTAGAGAACGGAACGGCAACACCAAAGATACAACCACTCTCTTCCTAGAAACAATAAAGCTTTGCATTTGAATTTTTCACATGTGCCAGGATTCAAGAAAACACTCTTTCAGGGCCTCAGTTACTGCACATGGTAGCAAAATTAGAAGGTGATACCCCCTAAAAGGCGGTACCCACTCTGGGTAGACACTTGGAAAAGGATGACCCTTTTGGCAGTGGTAGAACCCAGTGCATACCTTAGCCTTTCTCCTGTGTCCTTGCAGGTGACCCTATGCAGGTCACCTTTCATCATTCACATAATATAGCTTCTACCTGCAAGGACTTCCTTCTGTTTTGGGGGTATGTCCTCTCTGAAGCACACACAGTTGACTTGAACAATATTTTTCAATGACTGTCTCTTATTTTCATTCCATTTTGATTTGGGCTTGAGGAAGGCTCAGTTTTTTTGGTTGATGCTTTGGAGTGTGACTCAGCATAGTTACTAGCAGGGTCCCCAATTTCCTAGTAGGTGGGAGCAGTCACCCTGGGGGGTAAGGAGGCCCTCCCCAGGGGTAGAGGAGCTGTGAGCTTTGGGGAGAAGGAGCAAAAGTTTCTCTTGTATACGTGACAGTGAAATGAGGGGGGCATTTGTGAAGCACACTGAGTAGTGCTTATCAATATTTTAGAGACACTTGCCCTTGGAGCTAAAGCTTCTGCTAGAATCTGCTAGCTACTATAACTTAATTTTAGGTGCTTATGTATCTAAATATAAATTCTAAGATAACCATTGTGGCACTGTTGATAACAACAAGCAAAGAATAGAAACAACTGGAAGGTCTGTTGATGAGAGACCAGTTAAATAGATAGTACTTTCATAAAATGGAGTATTATTTTGCCTCTTAAAAGGGTAAGTAGAAAAAAGTGGAAAGATATCTAAGATATATTGCTAAGTGAGAAAAAACCCAAATTATACAACATTATGTATAATCCTCTCTGGATAAAACTCGCTAAAAATCAATAATCAATTCGTCTACCCTGTGATGAATTTCTTTTAGAGTTATAGAAATTAGAAGAATGAGTTTATTGAAAGAAAACCAACCAGCCAACCTGCCTACCACCTCCCAAAGCCCCACTTAGCCACTCAGCCACAGAGGACGCCTACCTTTCCCTTCCCTTCTCCTCTGACCTTCTTGGGAAGGTCTCCCCTGAGCTCCCCTTGACACAAGGTCCAGCACCCTTGAATTCCCCATTGGCTCCTCATCAGCACCACTGTGATTGTCCTCATATCCAGCAGGGAGAGGAGAAGGGTCTTCTGGTCTGTGAGAACCGAGGAGCCTTCCTATAGCTGAGGTGCACCAATGTGGGTCATCTTTGTGTCTTCTTTCCTGTGGTCAGGGTGGAGATCGAGCAGCATATTGTGCCCAAACTCAGTTGGTCATTCCTGTCTTCCTTAGTTTGTCACTACCTGAGCCCACTGGTTTTCAGCAGCAAAAGCCAGTGTGTGACAGAATTCAGGGTTCTCCCCGGCTCACAGATCTGCAGAGCTGCGTCAGAAGGCCAGCTCAGGGTAGAGGTAGAGGGATGAGGGGGCAATTTTGGGAATCTTGAGGGACCTGAGGGCAAGTCCATGGAACCATCACTTCTGGCTTAGCTGCTAAAGCACAGAGGCGTTCTGGGGCAGGGACAGGGAGCCAGGTCTTTGTTGAAGTTCTTGGACTCAGTTTTAACCTGATTGAGGCAATCCGTCATCCTGCTGTCCCCATCCCATCATCTTCACTGCA